GTTTTTTAATGGGCCCCCCCCCCCCCCCAAACTGCATTTAATGCTGAATAACATACATTTAAGATATGAAATACAATATAAATAAATAAGCAAGCAAATAAGTAATTAAATAAAAATACATATAAAAATTTTAAAAACATAAAACATTAAAAAGTGCCACTATTAATTCAGGATTTTTTTGCTCACTAAATTGCATTTAATAAGGGATCAAATAAATTTAAGGCGGAAAAATAAGTAAATAAATAAAAAAAAAATTTAATATATAACATTATAATAACAAGCCATCTGTATATTCATATTAATGAAATAAAATTAAATACAATACTTTATATTAAATATATACATATATTATAAGACTACATATGGGCTCATTTAAATAATACAATTACTTAAAAAACACAATACTATAATGTGTGTATATTGTATGTTATATATATATATATATAATTATTTAAGAAGCACTTTCTTAAATGTATGTATGTATCAAAATAATAAACAAGTGAATATAACGAACACATAAAGAATACATATATCCTAAACAACAACATAATTATATTTCCGACTGTATGTTGTCGAAGCATACGTTTAAAGAGAACAGAAAAATGATAAGTATAACAATAATACATATATTATATACAGTATAATAGCATGAAAAGGTCCACTATTATGGCTGTTAATTACGCTCTTACCTGTAAATTGGCATTGGTCATTGTTGACGGTGAACTTATATGTAACTGCGGGAACGGTTCAAATATATACATTTTTTTAAATTAATGTATCACGGAATCTCTGTAAATCTGTGCGTCTCGTGCACAAATACTATCAAATATACTTTAAATAATTAAAATAATAAAAGAAAATACAGAATAAAATACAAATGATCGTTTTAAGCAAATAAATGGATTTTAAAATATTTAATTCCCTCTTAAAATACGCTAAAAAGCAGCATTTTCATTTACATTTATTTTGACAAATAAACAGTTCACCACACTTCTTGCACAGAAAAAAAGCTAAATAGAATGTTAAGAAATGCACATATAAGAACCAAGATTTTGACATTTCTCGAAGATAATATGGTTCAAAATGCATTTCAGTGGAGAATAAATATGGCAAGAAAAAAATACACCTCAAAGACCCAAGAATTACAGTTTACACAAATAAAAATGAAATACTGTAGCAATGTTTAAAATAAAATGGGAAAAAACATTTTAAATCATGTTTTTGTGTATGCAATCAAATAAATATTTTTTAAACAGTCAAAAGATGTTAAAAGCAGCATTTTCATTTATTCTTTTGACAAATATACATTTTAGCACACTTCTCACA